TAGGTAAGTACATATTCCGTATTTATTATTAAGTTATAACAAATATTGTTGACTTTTTCCTTACCACACCACACCAACGACCCTGAGCAGTGGACGCCCTCGTGAATATATTAAAGGGGGCACGGTGAAGTGGTCGAATGTCTCATATCCTACCCCAATAAGCTGCCAAACATATTTTTTTCATTTTGTAGATTGTCGGGAACTAAGAACAGTAAGAAATAAATTATTGAATAAATAATTAACATTACTTAATAAGAATTTTTAATAACAAATACTAAACAAAATAATAAGTACTATATACGTGGGATTATAATCGATCGAGAAAAAAATCATAGGCTATGGAAAAGGGTTTGGAACCATGGACCTCCCCTTTGTGGGAGCCAATGGTGCTTTGTGAACCGCAACACCTTGAAAAAAATTAGAAGTAGCCCTTACCCTGGAAAAGTCTGCCCACCCCTGGCTTAAGGGGTTATTTTTTAGAAAATGCGCCGTAATGTCTTAAAAATTAACTATGAAATTCAAACTGTATAGGCCCAATGTAGCACTTAAAGATTGATGAAAACAAAGTAGCCAAAAAAGAAATTGTACTCTTACATTATGGGATAAACTCGTGCATTATGGGATAAAACAGAAAAAAGCTTCTTTGACATAATGGTGTTAATAAAAAAACATTGTCCGGCCATGTGATGAAGAACAGCAAACCAAAGTCCCTTAGCAAGGTGCTGATAAAAAAATTTCATATGCTTATGAAAATTTTGATCTATCTGAATGCAAAAATTTCAACTCAATTATAGGTATACATATTGCTTAACACTTTATGATAGCATCCACGTTCATAACTTTTCTTTATGCTTTTATGTATTTCACAAGGAATTGTGATTTAATGCTGTATAAACGTTAAATACAATTTCTTTATTGACGTCGCATTTTGATGTGTGTGTGTGTGTGTGTGTGTGTGTGTGCGTGCGTGTGTGTGTGTGTGTGTGTGCGTGCGTGTGTGTGTGTGTATGTGTGTATGTGTGTGTGTGTGTGTGTGTGCGTGCGATGACCACCCTCCCTCCAAACTTTTGTACTACGCTAACGTGGTGGCTTTGACCCCCGTCAGATTTAACGTGCACCAGCTCATACATACGAAGTATAGTTTTTAGCATGTTTTTCAAGTAGTGGACTATTAGGACGCAAATTTCGTCTTCTTCTTCGTTCCATATTTTGTCGTACCTTTTTCTCAGCCAATAAGCAACCAATTGACCTCGGGTTTTCGGCATTGGGTCGCATTTGTGCTCTAGATTAGCCGAATCATATTTAAATTTTCCCATAGTTTTCCCGAATTTTCCTACAAATTTTTCTTAATTTCGCTAGTTTATAACAAAATTTTCTCAAATTTTACCTAGTAAATTTATTGTTTGCAAACAGTTTTTTTATAAAAAATATACCTGCATTTTGGAGAAAATCTTACAAAAATGAGGAAATCTTCACAAAGAAAGTTCAGAAAACAAATATAAAAGACTCTTATTTTACTTTTTTAATTTAATGAAAAACGCGCTAAAATTACTTGGCTATGCCAATGATTGGTATCTTGTTTCTCTTGACAATAGTAAAAACACTTACGTATAACCAGTTCTTCTGTAGTGAAGGAAACAGGATCCCTTAATAATTTTTGCAATTTAAAAAAATGGCATCAATCTTAACAGCTTGAAAGGATATAAATTATAACTTTGATCAAATAATATTAATTAACTTAATACAGTTGAATAACATCTAAAAAGTAATTATTCTATTCGACTGAATTTTCATTTTTAAATTATTCGTATTGTTTATTAATTTAATTTCTTTTTAAGACATCCATTTAAGTGGATATTGGGTCTTAATTCATCATTTGTATTATTAAGATTAGTTTGTTTATTTAAAAGATATTCATTTAGAAATTATAGATATTAATTTTCTTAAATTATTTAATTTTCAAAATATAATTTTTCTAAGACGTCTTAAATAAAAAAGCAAAATGCATTATAAGTATTAAAATATTTATAGTGTAAAAGATTGACAGCATTAAAAGTGTTTGAGAAGCAAATGGGGATAAATCTTACTTTAAAATTGAAATGATGAAAACGTTAAAGAGAGAGATCAAATTCTTGTATACTCATGTGTCATTAACTTTTAATGGTATTAACTTTAATAATGTATATTATATATGATAGCGAAAAAAAAATTGAGAAAAGCAATAAACACGAAACGTTTGAGTTGAAAGGAAATTTTTCAAATAATACCTAAAGAACTCCGTCAAGAAAAATATGAAGCCATAAGTGTACCACACGACACACTTTACATTGTCAAAAAGACGCAAGAAAGAAAAATTACAACATGCTATTTGTCGATCTTCAAAGAACAATAAAATTACAATAACTTGAACAAAATAGGACAGTTTTGCCTGCATATAAAATTCCTGCAATGTTAATTAAAAGTGTCTGCGATTTGTGTCCTTTATTAAAGTCAAGCACATTTGAAACTTCTTGCTTCAGTTTGATTAATATTTTTTCTCAAATTATCAGTCCATAAAAGTATAGGTGAGTATGCTTTCTCTTAATTAAAGTATTCATTATATATATATATAGAATAATCATTTTTGTCGTGTACAATAAAAATAATTATAAAAAAAGATTGGGGTGTATCAGTCACCCCCACGTGACCATTAACGTTAGTATTGAGTCCGCGCCTGCTCCCGGTTTAAGAGTGTAATTTACCTTTGAGAGGGCAAGAAATGAAGAGTTTGGCTATTCTTTTTTAATCCAATCTTATCTTTCTGTGGTCTTATGTCATGGTTAAGTCGATTAATTGTCTGTTTATTCACTTCTTCCTTCGTAGCAATACGACGGCTATTGATTGTGGACGGAACTCAAGCTGCACCTCAATCTCCGAATTTCCTCATCACTCCAACATGAGGACTTTCTTTCTTAATAGATTTAACATGCGACAGTCATTTTACACCACGGGTATCATTAAGTGAAAGATATTATGGGAAGGTGTCGTTCAAATTCAACACCTGTTTTTAGATAAAACTTGAATTGGCGATCAATTGACACAGCAAAATTCTAGGTTCTAATTAAAATTTGGCAAACATAAGGAAGCAAACAACTCCCAATGACCTTGATAATCTTTGTAAATCTTACATTCTATTTGTGTTGTGAATAGATTGAGGGAGCCGGTTACAAATCCAAAGAAATCGTTAAGGGATCCTTTTCTGATCAAAAGTAAGATTATAAATGTTCAAAACTCAATAGAAAATATTCAATTTTTCATGCAAGTAAATGAGAGCGGAGCAAATTAAAACAAGATCACTATAGGTTCAAATATTTTTATTTCCTACGTAGTTCAAATACCTGGTAAGTTGATTTTGAGTCAATCATGGATGAGGAATTATGATCCTCATTTTTTTTCAAAAGGTCCAAAAATTACAGTAATTTAGCTTAGATAATAGAGGATAAATATACCCAGATAATAGAAGATAATAGAGGATTCTATATACCCAGTTCGGGACTATAGAACACATGGCTTAACAGAAGTTTGTCGGCTCCGACCATTAATTTTTATTGCCTAATGTATCATACTTAAATTCTCAAGTATATTTCTTCAATCGGAAGCGTACTTGAAGAGCATATGGCTTCTGAAAGGGCCGCCTAATCATATGGTTAACACGTGTCCGTCTCTCTCCCTCTCTTACAAACAGATTACAAAATGATCTCATGGAATAAAGACGGTTAAAATAAAATGTCTTGAAGTTCGCTCAAAAAACCACGACAAACACACACACACACATATATATATATACATATATATATCTTATATGTATATACTCTTTTGATTTTAACATTATTAAAATGCCTTTTTGGGGTAGTAACCTACACCTATCTATTTTTAGAAATATTATCTTAAATTTTATAAAAAGAAAGAACGATTTAGTCACAGATAATGATGTTAAACAAAAGAATTATAAGCTGTTCTGCAATAATTGCTTGGAATACAGCTATCCAAGTAAATTCATTTTTAAATATATTTCTAGGTTATCTTTCTAATTCTCCTTTTTGATGTTTAATTCTTTTTCTTTTTTTCTCTCCTTCTGTTTTTTATTAATTTCAATTTGTTTTTGTTTGATTAGTTTAATTAAAATAAAACTATCTAGGTGGCACCACTAATTTTTGTTTCTGGTTTTACCAATTTAACACGTAATTTTTAACATCACTTAGCGTGGTTGCTTTCGAATGTAGTGGTCTTTTTCCCCGCTTTCTTGTGGATTGCATCTTTTCACGTAAGGATTTTTTTCCCCAATATTTATTTTTTTATCTTGTTAAAATTTCATTTCCTCTCTTATTTTATGTTAATTTTATTTTATTTTTCTGTCGGATGCAAATTACACGTGGTTAGTTTTAGGCCTAACTTTCCAATTTGATTATGTTTTGCTATTTTGTCCAAAATTTCTGCTGTACGGGGAAGTGTTGGATCCGTAAAATATATTTAACCCTTATTTTGCTGGTCCTAATTCAGCAACAGCTTTAGACATTATAATAGGTCTTCATTTTAGTCCATTGACTCTTCTGGTTTCTTACATTTTAAAGTTCTAACTCTGTTTCATGCTATACATACGCTTAGTTAATTCTAGTACAATATACTTTTCCATCAATTTTTATATTGTGTTTCTTGAAATCTGGTTTAAATCTTCTAGTTTTTTTAGTGGTATAATTTAGTACTATCAATTTATTATGCTGTGTATTTTTTTCATTTTATGATACTATATATATCTTGTTCAAATTTTCAATCGTTAATAAAATACTTTCTATTCATTCATTCAAGTTCTAACACATTTTTTAAACTTGTTGTGGATGACACTTGATGTTAATACAGTTTTTTTAAATATTAATTCATTAATTAAATTAAAAAATGAATAAATAGTAAGAAACAAAAAAAATAGTCCAATAGCATATATAGAAAGGAATTTATTTCGTTGTATCTCTGCAGCGCAATGGATAGCGCGTTGGACTTCTAATCCAAAGGTCGTGGTTTCGATTTCCATCTGGGACTGCGTAATTTCTGAGAATGTGATTTCTTTTTTACTAAAATTTTAAAAGAATAATTAAATTTTGTTGATGAATAAATAGTAACAAAAAAAATACAACTTTAAAAGAGAGGAAAAATGCAAGGAAAATCGCTTTCTATTTTATCATTTAATATTGTGGTTCTGTCATACGTATATACATATTTATATAAATGGTAACTAAAAAAAGAATAGGTAAAATAAATTTTTCTCTTTGTTGACCTAAGTAGAAGAATTGACTTAAAAAAAATTTTATATTACTTGTTTTCAGCTTGTTTCAAGTAAAGCTTCGTTCACATTATTTTGTATCTTCATTGATTTGTTTTGTAAATTTTTCCATTCCCTGTTTTTGTAACTTCATTGTATTGACTATATTACCTAATTGTTTTATTATTTTGCAATGTACTTTTTGTCTTTGCAGCTTATTTTTTTTTATTTCATTATTTCGTAACTTGGGTTTGTTATTTACTTTTTATTTTGTTTGTTTTAATTACTTCTGTGAACTCCGTGTTATACTTGTGGTGCATGAGAATTATTTTATTTGTCTTGCATAAAAAAAAAGAAAGAAAATCTTTAAAAATTTGATACAGCAGATATTTGAATAACAGGGTCGGATATCAGTGTTATTTGGCTTATGGCTTAATTTTTCACTACCTAGCGAGCATTTATTGAAGCATAGTAACTACTATTGATTAATTCTTCCAAATAATTAATGAAAAACATTTAGTTAGATCTCATTAGTTAGCTCTGCTACTATGAGATGTAACGTGACAGGCCTCATCGTGGTGCATCCTGGTTAAAGCTAAATCTGTCACTGCTTTGTCTCTCTTCCTGAGCGAGATATTGGAGCTGGTTCAGGAGTCTATTGTAACTATTTTGCATTCTATAGGCAGTGGGAAGAGATAATACCAATTTTGATGGTAAAGTTGAGGCTATATTTATTGGTTTGAATCAATTAAGGGAGCTCGGAAGTTATTTTCCTCGGGCTGTTATTTTGTCTGATAGCAAAGCCCCTTTTGCAGGCTTTCTCCAACAATAAAGTTTAAACAACCAAACGAATTTATGAATGAAGAAAGATTCTCAACACTCTGGCGGACTCAATTGTCTTGCAGTGTTTCATTTCCCTAGATGCTCAATGTAGCATCTAGGGCATAGATTCTCAACGTGGGCGATAACGCCCCCTTGTGGGCGTTTGAGGCTTTCAGGGGGGCGTTGAGAGGACACGGAGGGACTTGGGCAGATAAACCAAAAAAGACACAAAAAAAACAAGCTGATTATGTACCTACAAAAATAAACTTTAATACTGTTTACCTTATGTTGATTGTATGTATTTAAATCATTCCTATATCACACGTAACAAAAATTCACATATTTCGGTAGTATGGAAAGTAGATGAAAAACTTAAAAGATTACACTACATTCAGACTTACATTAAATTGTAAGATATAGTGCATTTTAATTTCTGTAGTGCACGTGTTGTCTTTGTGAGCAGTAGGAAACATGTTTCGTCCACTGCATTTCATTACGTATATTATCCAAGTAACACAATTAAATATGTTAATCAGGAATTAACGTGATTCTTTAAAGGCCGAAACTGTCAATTTATATTCATTTTGAAAGCAATAGCTTATTACGAATTACTTCGTATCATCAAAACCCCTGCCTGTCTTTATAACAGGTAATCTAAAAATCTTTTATTCCACTCTTTTAAATGAAGAAGAAATTCAGTAGCGTTTCAATTCCAACAATATCTTACCTATGACTAAAATATGTAATATTACACATTTAAATATATTTGTGGCAATAGATATTTCAGATTTGCAAGTAAAAATAACTGGGACTTTAAAAAAAATGAAATTAAAAAAATATATTCTTTTAGGAATAGGATATTTTTTAAAAACTAACTCTTGTTTTCACCATGTATTATGTACACTGCTATTTCTCTATAGTGGGAGGGGGCGGTATAAAAATATTCACTAGAAAAGGGGGCGATATTGAAATATTTATTAGAAAAAGGGGCACCAGTTCAAAAAAGGTTGGGAACCTATGATCTAGGGAAATGAAAGAGCCAATTTCCTGGCAAAGAAGAGGGAACGACTATTCCACAAACCACTAATTACCATATGACTTTTGATTGTGCAAAACTTCTAATTATATTAGAACTTAAGAGGAGATTTGTGACCCCTACCTATCAAACGGAAAGGCTGGGAGTGTCTCACTTGCTCAAAGCCAGCCATTCTAGGTTTTCCTCATCCTGTAGCCGTGGCATTATTTCGTCTTTTGACTGGGCCCAATTATTTGAATGCCCATCTTTTTTTTAAAATTCGACTAAAGGGCAATTCAACCTGTACTCTATGTGACTCTGGAGAGTCCATGGATAAGGACTTTGGCCATGAGCAGGCAGATAACCTTGACAAGGAGACCCGAAATTCCCCTCTATTTTCCAATACCCATGTCTTCTAACTCTATTCTTCTAAAGTATTGAGAAGCTAAATCAAGACCAAAGTGACCTAGTGACCAAATGCTTGGCATTTGCATAAATAAATAAAGTTTTTAGGTTGTCTTTTAATGTTTTTCGTATTCTGCAGAAACATCCTAAACTCGCTTTATGGTAGCAGAACTAACTAATGAGATCTAATTACAATAAATGCTTTCCATTTATTATTTGGAACAATTAATCAATAAAGAGTCAATAATGCCTCAATAAACGCTCTCTAGGTAGTGAAAAATTCAGCCATAAACTAAATTTAACACTGATATCCAACCCTGTTATTCAAATATCTGCTGTATCAAATCTTTAAAGATTTGTGCTTTCTTTTTGTCTTCTGCTTCGTTTTAAAAACGCACTACAAGCGTGTGCAAAGTTTTTCAAATACTGTTGTTTTATGTATTTCTTCTTGATCTTATTATGTTCAAGTTCTAATTTTAACTTCGATTTTCTGAAGGAAAATAATAATAAAAAATTAAAGAGTTTTAGAAGTGAATAGCATATAATATAATTTCATACTCAAAGGCGACATTTTTGAGAAAATCTTGTAGTGAATACCTTAATTTTGTTTGTGACTTAGAAAATTATGAGTAAAAGATAAGAGTTTTAGATCTGAGTAAAAAATGGCATGCTTCTGTAGTAGTTTTAAAACAATTGACCCTCGTTCAATGTTTTGTAATAGTGAATACAATGTCCTGACAGCTAAATTGGTATCCTGAAAGTCCATCTATCTCTTAGAGGTGGGTGAAATGTTGAGTCATATTCTTTTACAGACTATGGAATCAGTTTTTACGTACAGGAAATGTTCATCGAAGATTGAGACAACGTCGTACACCTACGACGACAAAAAATTAGGATCGATATATAACACTGACGGTCAGAAGAAACCTCTCTATAAACGCCACTTTGTTGCAACAGCATCTTCAGTTAACTATTCTAGAGTTAAGAATTAATCTGTTTAAAACCGACGTCACATGTCAGTTTATATTCTCACAAATCTATAGATTCGGTTTCGTTGACAGGGAAACACCGTGCTACCCGCGAAGGTGGACACTGGTGCATCTCAGATGGGAATGAGATGTGAGGCAACGTAATCTTTACGGACAAGTCCCACTTCGATGCATAACTATAAGTGCATGGATTTTCATCTGAAGAAAACTTGATAGAATAATTGTGCAATAGTGCACGAAAATGTCCGATTTGTTGGAGGCGGAGTAATAGTCTGAGCTTGAATTTATATCAGTGGCTGCACCAACCTGTATATTATCAGGAATGGAGCACAGGCAGTACAGCGATACAGTGATGAGAATGAGATCCTCAGACTATATGTGGTCCTGTACCCTGCTGCAATTAGGGATGAATTCATTTTCATAGGTGATAATGCCAGATCACATCTTACTCAGTGAGTAAACAGTTTCTTTTTCGACAAAATGATCCTTTTAATGGCTTGGCCAGCATATTCCCCCAATATGAGCCTAAAAGAGAGCATGCTTGGGACATTCTAGGGAAAAGAGTTTCTAGTGACTTATCACCCTCCCCCCCCCCCCAAAAACAATTCAGCATTGTAAAGCAATTTTCTTCAAGAGTGTGAGAGAATATCCTAGTCCCTTACTGGTAGCCTCTTTGATTCCATGCCTGGTACTTGTGTGATATTTCTATTTTTGAAGGGAATCCTTACCCTGAATTGAAACTTATTTTTAACCCAGAAATCATATTTTGTTTGTTTGTTTGTATGATATGCAGGAATTAAGCCCCTTTTTTTCTTACCAACAAATATTGTTAACAAAATCGAACTATCCCTTGTTGGTTGCGTTTTTTTTTTCTTTCTCGCATATTTCATAATCAGTAGCGCACACAAAAAATTTTCAAGGGGGGGGGGAGACGGTTGAAAGTCCCCTAACTCGTATCATACCTCAAGACAACACCAATTGATTCTTCTGATTTTGTCGATTTTGTTAACAAAAAACAGTACAAAAAATTATTGAATTAACAATTATCATTAATTAATAAAATTAATTGTTAATTACAAGTACTTAATTAAATTTTACGTTATATATATAGGATTATCATCAATCGAAAAAAACTCAAGGACTTTGAGGGGTGTCCGGACCCCCAGAACACCCCACTTGTGTGCGCCACTGCTTACAATGGATATATACATCATATGTCAGTCCCCATCCGCAGTTAATATCCAAAATTAAAATATCCCCTAATTATTTTGAGCAGTATATTTATTATTTAATTGATTCCCTTTCTAATTTAAAAAAAAATGGCTTCATAATCCCTTTTTAGTTTCAATCATCCTCAGATAATAGATTTTAATTAATTTATTTTAACAAATTTTACTTTTAAAAATTGTTTGCATTTTCTTGGAAGAAAAATTCATTTGAAAATTCAAAATTTCATAATTGTGATATTTAAAAATATTCTGAAAAGTTTCATGTAGAAACTACCAAAAATTAGAGGATATAGTGGTGAGTCATTTAGCAAGAAATGCAT